CATGGAAAACAGACTCCCAGCAAACCTTCGTTGGGGCAATACTATCACCACACCTAAACGCCTCCTTGATTAATTTATATTCGAGAGTGGTTTGTATCGCCTATCAAATATCAGTGTTATTACCAATGATTTATACAAACGAGGTTCGATATTTGTCCAGTTGACTATAAAAGGCAGTAGAACATGAAATTTGGTCTGTCTGTTTTATGTTTTTCTTTCTGTTCATGTAATTATCCGAAGCCCGCTTACGTTCATATTTATCATTATTATTGTGATTAATATTATTGCCGTTGTTTTACTGACACATCAGATATTCGTTACTTCCCATTTCCCCCTCCTCTTTTTCCTTCTGTTCAAGTGTTTTTCTGAACATCCTAAGTTTATAATTAAAACACACGACCTTGTGTCAGACTTAAATACGTTAATTATAAGTATGGGGGTTATAGAGATTATAAGTTTTTGATTGAAACCATTGGATGCCGGCTCAGTGGTCCAGTAGGCTAAGTGTTCGCGCGCGAGACTGAAAACCCTGGGTTCGAGTACCTCAAGCAGGATCGTGGACGAAAATAAGAGAGATAGATAGTAGGTGCTGACAAGCGGTAATGACAACTGGCAATTTTGGAGACACGCATCAGACACAGTTGACCCGGGAGGGAGTTGTAATCCACGAGTGGGCGCGTGTTTGTTGGAACTCTTCTTGAATCAATTCACTGAAGAAGCTGTGGCCAGTTCGTCCGAAAGAACATTACAAATGGTAGCAACTGTTAACGACACAAGTGTGAGTGTACCTGGGTTTTTGCTCTTTGATGCGTAAATTTTCGCTGGCTGCCTCGAGGAGCGTGACGGTGAAGTTCTGATAATATACTCCTGTTCAAGTGACTCAGCATACTTAAAATGTTATGTGCCATTATCAGAGAGAATGTTATCAAGTGTTTGGGCCTGTCCTTGTGAGGCTTTCTCTTTAATCCGTCACTCACTTAGTTGTCTGTCTTTGTGCCTAATCTGATAGATGTATTTTTGTTTTGAGAAGACGCACTGCAGCGACATCGTGGGTTTTAAGGTGACGCTGTATGTTTTAAAAAGTGTGTCAGGACCAACCATGAAGTTATTGTTCCTGGTTATATTCACATTAAGCTAAGAGATAGATTTGATTTGACCGCGTCCACAATAGAGTTTGAGCTGATGTTCAAACTCATTGTGTGTACTTTGGTATTATCGCAATCTAAGAAAAAAATCGGGAGCATATATTTATGGGGAGTGTGATTTCTTTGTCTCAATTGGCTGAATGTCTAGGACAAGTTTTAAAAGTTTACATTCCAATTACATCATGGGTTCATAATCTCATAGGAGAGCAGATTAACTAATTTTACCCAGGAGGTCACACATGAAAATCATTTAAAGGAGTGGACCGGAAGTTGTTACTTGTGGGATTCCAGGCGTCGAGAACAACACACGTCAGTGAGGAACGTGCAGTCCTCCGGGGCCAGGACAGAAGTGAGTCAGTGGAAAATGTCTTTAAAACCCTTGCAATTAGGAGTATATGTATTCTTCCATTGGTTCGTTGACCAGTTCTTTCGTTTAGCACAGCTGTAAGAAATGCTGCAGGTTTGTGGCAGATTTGGTCTTTCATATCCCTTTTTTTCAAAGATTGAAACAAGGGTAGCCTGCTTCCGTTATTTTGAGGATTTTTGTCACTTTGGTGAGTGCCCGAACAGGTTACACATCTGCTTACTGATGGTTTCTACAAAGGGGTTGTTGTTACATCCCGGAAACTTTCCTGTGCTCAGGGAATTTAATTTTCTTAGTACTAATCGGGATTTTGATGGATATTCACGAGAATACCATCTGGGGGTAGAGTCGAATTTTCCAAGTTGATAGGTTCCTAGTTCGACCTAGCTGAGAAGTTAGCATATAAGATTTGTACCATCTCTGGTTTAGTAAGATCTTTCTCAGGCTTTCAGAAAACACAGGCTCATGGTTTAAAGGCTTTTGTTTAGTCATGAATCTGCGGAGATATTTTGGGCTAACATGTATTTCCAACTGGCACTAAAGTGTATCTTATTTAGCTTTCCTTCTATTGTCTCAGTAATCTAGATCGGCCCTACCATTTTATGTGGCCGGAGAAATCATAAACGACCTCCCACAGCAGGTATCGGCTGACATGTCATTTTTTGCTGATGACGTGAAACTTTGGAGAGACGTTTGCAAATAAGATGATAAGCTGGCACTTCAGGAGGATCTGACTCGACTTCAAAGTTGGGCAGATAACAAAAGACTTACTTTTAACGCTTCAAAGTGTAAAATAGTCCGAGACATGTTACAGACCACGCATACAACTTAGGCAACTCCCTCTTAGAGGTATCCTAATTTTAAAAAGATCTAAGAGTCTTGGTACCTTAGTCCCTTAGAGCAGGGATCTAGTAATGCTAGGAGAGGTGGAAAGAGGCTACATTTTATTATGCAGCATTCGAAATTCCAAATGAAGGAACTTCGAGCTACAGATAATCGACGTGTGTTCTACCTCCTTTGTGGTAGATGACTCTTTTTAACCTTGACTAGGCGCTATCTAGGTTTGCTTCTGACTATCTGTCGAGCTCAGTCGAAGCTTGGACCACACTACACTTTATCCAAAGTCACCCAGAAATGTTGACTGCTGTTTCTTTCTTACGCTATTCAACGCCAACATCTGTTCACATCCCGAGATGCACAGCATTATTGCAAACCCTCACCACAAAAGGAATGTGAAACTCCTGGATGAAGTACAATGACGTGTTTCGAAGTGTATAGAGGATTGCGTGATAGACTTCCTGGAGACCAGTTTTATCACCATGGATTTCGGTGCCTAGGGTATATCAACACACGACGTTACTTGACGATAGCGTGCAGCATATTAAACACTTCAAACGACTTAATTGTAAACACTATACACAAACCGGTGCATAGTTTCTCATATGAAGTCCCATGGTGAGCTGAGCGTCAAAGTTCGCTTTATTTGGCTTTGAACCATTCAAGTAGACTTGATCACATGAAGAAATCGTTGGAAACCCTTGTTTTGGTTCTTTAGTGTTGCACCAGAGGCACGTACAGTCGACGTGAATACAGGTAAAACAGGTGTTAACTCACGCATCCCATGACATCCACATACGTGTATTCACCCGTCAGAGGGTGTTAATGACTCCCCCTCCATCTGAACGTGTTTGCTGTAATTGACTATTTTTTACACATTGCGTGCATATCACTGGTATGGAGGCTTTCTCCCCTGCACCTTGTGACATAGACATAGGCATGAGCGCTTTCCCATGGAGAGTTGATGTTCACCTCCATTCGGTATGTGCTGCTACATCTTTTCATTATGATTTCGGCCTGCAGAATTAGGTCGTTGATTTTATTAGATGAACGGCTGACATTTTTCAGCTTTTATTCCTAGTGGTGACTGACGCGGGCACCCATTTCATATGTCTATATACATAGGTTACATCAGCCAAGACTCATGAGATTCATATACATAAGCATACACATCGGGAAATCCATCACAATTTTTGGAGCCTCCACAAACGAACTTCGAGTAATCAAAGTTTAACACAGAAGAGAGGAAGATTAGTTCAATTTCCCCCGACCACCCAAACTAACCAGCAAGGTTTCCCTTGCTGCCACGTACCGCCATGTAGAGGCTTTGAGTCGGGTTTTGCTTCCAGCATTATTGGCACATCTCTTATCACCTTAGCGACTGTCTCCTACGCCTCCCTGTTGTTCGTAAACACTCGTTTGTTTATATTGTCCATACATACCATTAGTGTGCTCATTTCATAGTCTTTCCTATTTCACTCCACTAATTTCCTGTTGGATAATGAAGTAGCTACTGATTCTTACAAGTCTACCCTCAAAAATCACATTTTTTAACAAACTAAAATATAAACATCCAGTCAAACGCCAAATCCGCTCAAATAACTGCGGTTGATCGACTTAAAGATGCCACGGATATTCGGGCTTCGACAACGCTTTTGTCTGTAGCCTCTTCATAATTGGAAAATCCAAAACCCGGTAAAATCAGGAGTCAGGAATGAAGGAGTCCGAAGATATATTCGGAAGGTTATCGATATGTTGAGAAACGTTTGATCCAATCTGGCTAGTCGCTGTGAGGGATACGTAGCACTACGTATGAGGTTGTGATCTGATGTGGATACGTGACTGAGTGATTTCAGCTATGGTGTGTCCATTGAGACTAATGAGGTCAAGATCAACGTCAGGGACTTACAGAGCTGTTCATTTCGGGGATTTATTTGTTTTTACTTGTTGAACTACTCACACTGGATGGTGCCAAATACGTGGAACAGCACCATAACATCAAGAAGCGAGGGAAGATAAACCAATGCTTTTATACTCCATCACAATCAAGATATCGAAAATTATCTCTACTTGGGATCCTAACCTTATGATTTCTGTATTGTTGCCATGTAGTCAACTGTCTCATAACACGATAGCTACTAGTTCCATAAATTCTATCGCTCTAAGACAAGCAAATCCACTTATACCGAATTCCCTAACCTACTAATATACATCGAATTCACTAGAACTAGTACGGTCAAGTGTATAGATTGTTCATAATGGATAGTACTATGGTTCCGGAATCATAGATTAACATAACGACCCAAGTCGTCTGGTTTACACTAGTTCTTCGAGATAATGATAGATATATTGGGTGTTAAAACAAAAATTCACAAAAGCTATTTTGTTGGACGACAAGATATCAGGTATTGTGTTTTACCTCTTCTTCCAACACGTTTAAATAGGGCGAAATGTGTTTTCTTAGGTGAATTAATATCGTGACCCATATATAGTTTATCCGAAGCTTCCAAGCTGACCTTCATTGTTTTGTCGCGTGATTACTGAGACAAGCTGTGATTTCTCGGATTTTGAATTCTTCGGGTTTGTTTTCTTACTAAATCAGTGCAGTGCTCAGCAAACTTCTCCAAAAATACAGCACATTTTTCTCCTAAGTAATGTCGACACGCGGTAATTACGCCTTGTCCGACTTTATAAGACTGGAGAAAATCGGCGAAGGTATTCCTAGGTTCTCGTAACCGCCTTGTCTAGGCACATACGGAGTGGTGTATAAATGTAAAAACAAAGTCAACGGTAAATTTGCTGCACTTAAAAAGATACGTCTCGAAAATGACGAAGAGGGTGTTCCTTCGACGGCTATTCGGGAAATATCACTCCTAAAAGAATTACAACATCCAAACATCGTGAAGTAAGTATTCACGGGTATCAGTTTATGCTCTTAAGTCTCGAGCAGGTAATCATGGAGAATGGAAGACTATACTTAGTTTTTGAGTACCTAAATTTGGATTTAAAACGCTACTTGGATGACAGTGGAAGAAAAAACTTGCTCGAACCTGGTATTGTTAAGGTAAAATGCTACAGCAGTTGACTTTTTAGAGCTTCATGTATCAAATGCTGCAAGGTCTATTGTTTTGTCACGGCAGGCGAGTTATTCACAGGGATCTAAAGCCCCAAAATATCCTGGTTGATATTGGAAGAAAAATTGTCAAACTTGCAGATTTCGGTTTGGCTCGTGCTTTTGGAATTCCTGTTCGTGTACTAACTCATGAGGTATGCATTTGTATAGGCATACTTTCAGTTAACTTGGGTATAAGTCAAGTATCCAAATTATATACTAACTAGGGTTCCATCTTGATGAGAAAATTGTTTCTTATCTTGTTTTATTGGGACATTGGTTTGTCATAAATTCTGGTGGCACAAGCACATGGGTTCAAAGGTGATGTCAAAAGTGATTAATATAGTGCAAAATGTCGTCTTTGAGGTATGATTAAGGCGGTCCCGATGTTTGTCATCCGACCGATCTTGGCGTATAATTTCGCCGATGAACAGTACCAAACCTCAGATTCATTAAAGCATCTTTTCCTGGCAGATCTAAAAATCGCTGTCTCGAATGACATTTAAGTTCCAGGTATGTCGCAAATGTTAGACATGCTTCCAACTGACTGTGTAGAAGTTCTAGTAAAAGTTTGGTTCGGAGGTAGCGCTTAACAATCTTATTGATATAAACTAGTGAAAACCTTTCAAAGCAGGTGTATGGGACATCTTCAAGACTAGAAAATAGTTAGACTTAACCTTTATTGCTCTTTGGATATCATGTATTTATTTTACAGGAGTTAATACAAGGATGACATAGAAAAGAATAATGTGGTTGCATAATCTACTCCCGGAGGTATTTAAAAGTAAGATCACGAACTATTATACATACTGTGGTGATTTGGACATGTCATCTACACATGAAAAGCACAAAACTTGGCATATATCTGGCTCAGAACAAGTCACATTTATCACAGCTTTGGGGATCAGGCAGACGAAAAGCAAACAGGCTCACAGGTAGTGCATGTTTGTCAAAGCCATGCGAACGCTCAGCTACCATCCCAGGATCTCTCATAATAGGCTCGCCCATGTGATTAGTTATTGGTTATTCGGCGTTCTGTAGAATATGAATTCAACATCCTAAAATGACTTAGTGTTTGCTGCATTTCAGTGAACGTTTTATTTCCATACTACTTATCTTAACAGGTTGTTACTTTATGGTATCGAGCTCCAGAAATCTTGCTTGGGGCTCAAAGGTATTCTTGTGCCGTAGATATTTGGTCTATGGGCTGTATCTTTTCGGAGGTCTCAACAAAAGAAGCTTTATTTCGAGGAGATTCGGAAATAGATCAACTTTTTCGCATTTTCCGGCTCCTTGGTACGCCATCAGAAGAAGTTTGGCCAGGAGTTTCAAGTTTACCGGAATATCAAAAGAAAAGTTTTCCTATTTGGCGTAATTCAAAGTTGTCTATTCAAGATAATATAGCTAAAGCCTTCACCAGTCCTGGTCTTGATTTGCTTCAGGTAAATTACTTTTTAAATCAGTTCTTACAACAACGTTTAATAATTTCTGGCAGTTTAGAAGATTGGTTTTTGTAGTTCCATTCAGTTTAGCACGTACACAGAAACTAGCTTATCAATTTTTTGTGAAATTATGCCATATTTTCTGTATTCAACTGAACTAAGAGCAGTGAAGTGGATATTTTTTTGAAAAAGCACGATATAAAGCAGTGCTGTGGTTTTAAATTGTATCAAGTATCTGGAGTTAGAGCTATGCTCTACCTGCACTTCAGTTTGTGTAAAAATATGGTGTCACAAACCCGCAAACCAGATGTTATTCTCAAACTAGTGAACGAATGTGTACACGGTTACTAAGTAATTATTATGAGACAACTAATAAATCCTATTATTCGGGAATAGCACCTTCCCACTAATCGGTTTTGTACTAGATCACTACTGGCTTAGTAATTTAATCACTTGACTCACTCAAGTTTGTAAACTTACACTTGGTGGGAAGTACGTTAATTTTCGTTAATAGTTCATATATCTCGCCGTGGTTTTGTATTTACGGAACGTATCACGTAACTTATTTTTCCTTGTCATTGATTCCTTTTACAGGCCATGCTGATCTATGAACCTTCGCGACGTATTACTGCAAGGGATGCTCTTTTGCATCCTTATTTTTCTGACTTGGACAAATCTCTTGTGCCAGCAACTGGTGAAGAGTACATTGGTTTGCCATTAGACCAGTTACCCCGTGAAGTTGCTGCTATATTTCTAGCAGATGGCGGTGAAGTATATCATAATTCCAACGATACAGAAAATAATACTAGCAATTTATGTATTGCCGTCCAACCTGATACCGTACAGTTGGGAAGTGCAGCAATCCCTACAGCGAGATATTTGGCTGACTGCAAAAAGCAAGCGCATCAAACAGTAGGTGCAGTAAATTCCAAGTCCAGTCACCATGTGGCACCGTTGGCAGATAATCACGAAACTAATATGTCAATTAGCTAGTCAATAAAACCAGTCAGAATTTAGCTTTCTCATTTGCCACAAACCACCAGTTATTTTCTAATTTTGTCATTATTATTCCATTTTCTATTACTATGTAAATGTTATCCCGATTATATAGGTTGTTAGTGCGTTCTTGTGTTTGTTTCATAATTTTTTGTAATAAATATTGCCTACTTCTAACCACTATTTTTATGCGTAATCACTAGAAATCTAACTAATTATTCACTTTAATTGGAAAAACCTATAGTTGCATTGTATTTCTCGATTGCTAAAAATGTGCCAGAACTTACTATTTGGTTCCTAGATATTTTGCCACAAGTTAATTTCCATCAACCGACCAGTACTCACTTTGTCCTACCCACGCAAAATTCAAAACCCCTAACTAATGTAGCTTTCCTACCTATCATTTACATTGAAAATTTGTTTACCATACTACTACAACGTTAGTAAGTCGTATCATTTATAGAATGTTATTCCCTGAAGTAGTTTATCGGTGCAGTGATCAGACTGATGTTTTTTGTTGGGTTTGAATCTTCAGAACCACCTATAACCAGGATTTGGGAATTTATAGGTACATAATCCACAACAGGTTGCAATGCAGAGTAGTTTGCTTTTTGTCTCCGATGTACCTTGATTAGTATTATGTCATAATTTTGATTACTTGGGTTCATTTTCCGCTGCCTTTTTGGCTCTCGTAGCGCTTTATTTGTTAATTTCCACTCACTCTTCTGGGATATATTGCATCAATACTCATTTTTATGTTAGGTGGTGCATTTATTTTTATTTTTTGTTTTTTGTGAGAAAGTACCTCATGAAGTACTTCAACATCAAATAATATTTATGGTAAGATTATCCTCAACTAATTGCTGCCATCATGAAATGACTTAGCATTGGTCCGTTTTCATGAATTAAGGTATCAGCACCAGTAATGTAGTAAGGTGAATTTCTTTCATAGGGATTCACATTCATGTTAGGTTCATTTATCTGTGACTAAACATATCAGTCTAACCCTTTGTTTTCCAATCAAGTCCAATCTATTCCAAACACATCCCGTCGTTTAATAAAACATTTGACCTAGTTGTACCTAACTCAAATAATTGTCCTTAAGACAATAAAATAACATGAATAAAATGATGCACCGAACGACTGCCTCAAGCATAGGAGAAAGCTTGGAACAGACGGAGGGCTTCATTAAAAGACTCAGACCTTGACCTATATATAAGATCAAAGGACAGGTGCAGTCCACGGGCAAGGGGCGAGGTACGTCTTCCCAACATAAACCTGGCAGTGAAGTTGTAGATAGGTACACAGCACCTGTATAAATTGATGTCACACAAAAAGAATCACAAACCGGGGGATTTCGGGACCAGGCAGGTCTTTGACCCATACTTTCAAAAAAATTAGGAATCAGGTGCCGAGTTAACGGATTTGAGCAAATATACCAACAATGAGAATGATGAGTAGCAACATATAGGTAAAACCAGGACTAGCGTTGTAAAGGTTGCTGAAAAGTAGGTCCAAGAAGTTTGCAGGTTGCAGGGACATGCGCTCCATAGCATTAAAATAATGACCCGAACCCTCTTGCTATTCACTAACCGACCTATTTCAATACTCATTTGGCTGTAAGCTGTTGCTGTAGGAGTAGATCGCCTACGTATCTACGATATCTGGATTTCGCTGAGGCGTTTAATAGTGTTACATTATCCCATTGACTGGAATGGTGCGTATGGGCTTCAGGATATTGAGTGATCTATTAGGGTATGGATCTAACCTTGGTTACTGGCTGCCATGAGACGGCATCTTCTAAAGTGGCTCACTGCCTTGTGCATAAAACCACTAGGTCAAAGGCTCAGGGCTGGTCCCCTAACGAAGCCACCTGCTGCGGTTTGAGCATCTAATCTGTATCCCAGTCGATGAAAAATTCCAATGATTTATGTGTCGCATACATACTTTGGTGCCTCTTTGTACCTGTGTCTTTGTTTAAATTAGTAAATGATTGGTGAACACTTCAAAACAACGACCGAACTGAATTACGTCCGCGTTTGTTTTCAGCGATTCAGCTACTAAGTGTGTATATTCCCGAAAGTGTTTGTAGATGAAATCGAATCTAAGTTCCGAACAAAATAATAATGAATGAAATTTTTAAGAATTGCTCACACTACTAAGAGTAGATGGATTTGCATAATAAAATTCCGTAGTTTTTTCACCATATTGAAAAAGATCTTGTAAAATAATACTGACAATGCTAATTGGTATATCTTTTAATCTAAAACTGATTACACACTTGTATGATACAAAATAATAGAAAGTATTATGAAGTCTGGGGAATTTGATTCATATGGATCGGCGCATGAAGATATTTGTATGGTATTCGAATGTTGTATTCTGTCAAAATTCGTTCAGTTAGTAACCATTTAATCATCAGGTTTACGGCAAAGTATTTTGACAATTTTCGAGGAAATTACTTTACAGTACATACGTGAGAACTGATGATTGGATGATCTTAAAAAAACTTAAATGTTTTATGCTGCAAATATTTCACATTCATCAGTACTTAATCTTAGTATCGATTGGCTTCTATTTGTCAAGTTTTGATCTTCCCTAAAGCCCCTAATCATTAGATTCTGTCGTCCGAGGATTTCAAATTAGTTTGTACTGTTAGATATAATTGTTCTATGATAGTACATATATCATTTAATAATAAGCTGTATTATTAATACTACTAAATGTACTTGCGGTTTTTAACAGTGTTTGTGTTTTAAAAAAGTAGTGTTACAGTGTATTTTCCATTGGTGTTTAGACGCCTAATTTGAACCACGTCTGATTATTTTAGACATGCTAAGTAAACAGCTAACAACGACAACCTTAGTTCAAACCTCACGTTCATCTTAATATTCATTTCCTATACCATCAATATTTACGACTACTTAAGGTATCTTCATGCTGAAGAACTGTTGTATAGCCTTCAGAACTATGAGCCATAATTAAAGTAGTATCGTTTAAAGTAGACTTTTCTATACATTTCAGAATTTTATCGTAAACAGGATAGATTAATGATTAGTGTTCACTCATGTCCATATTATTTTTAGTAATATGAAATTGTGGTAACATGTTCATTATGTTGGTAAAATGTCTGTAATCTCCAAGTAACTTAAACTTGGATATTATTTATCTAATTGACTCATTGTTAGATTCAAATATTGGTCATATAATTAGGAATTTGTAATAAGGATCATGGTGATAGGATTTACTAAAACTTCAAAAAATTAAAGTACAACACAACTCAATGCATTCAAATCAATCTTAATTAAAGTTCTGTTAAATTTTAGATAAGCGTTTATTTAGAAGATAGTCGTTAACATTAGTCAATAATAAATGACAAATTCACTGTGGTGATGATGATGGTGATATTACCAGTGATTATATTATGAAGAGTACTAAATCAATATCAATAAATTCGTTTATAACCATATGTTTATTTAAACTGGAGTGTTCGAGACTAAAATGTAGAAAAAAGAAGATAGGACAGTGATCATTCATTCAATTTGTATATCATAAATTGAGATGAAAAATAAGGTGTTATTTCATTATTGGTAAGCAGCAATGTTATATCTTTAGTAATGAGACATCTTACATTTGTGACGTTTAGTTGCTATCCTTGTTTTTGGAGTAAAAACTATACTAATATGTACTATTTATCTAATAAATGGACATAAAAATGACCGAAAGTTATAAGTATAACATAGTCAATATTGAATACGTTGCGTATCACCTTATCTGGATTTCTCACAAAGAATTAGTTGAATAGACTAAGTAGAATATAATCTATTTTAAGCCACTTTTCACTCTTGGAGTTAATTTATCTCGATCACACTCTTTATATTTTTGTCTTAGGTAAGTGATATTTCTTCAGTTATTTGAACAGTCTGATAATAAGCTTGTTCATGGATATACGATCGTGAGAATGTATTTTCTTTTACATCAATATTATGTTAAATTCAGAATGTATGCAATGAAATTAATGTCTTCGTTAACACTGATTGGATATTTAAAGTAATAAGTGATGGTTTAATTATAATCGACCACAATGTAAGTGCATCGATTCGTTAGCTTGACTAGTACCTTATATAAAAATACATACACTGGATTTAATTATTAGAGTTGTACACCATTAATGTTAAGATGGATCTTTACTTCCCTATATATTTTTATAAGACTGGAATGACTGATCTATCCATTTGTCAACGTTTTTTTACAGAATCCTTGTCACCTGTGATCATATTTTCACTATATTTGATACTATATAACAGTTCAGTCTTGATACCATCAACTAGATCCACCTACGTCTTGGTCCGTTAGTATTTCTACTGATGTTTGAGTGCTGAATCCAGGGTCTAGTTCCTTTTTCATTTACTTAAAAATAATCAAAATAGAAATAAGCAGTTTATTTTTCGTTTTATATTATATTTGCAGTGTACATCTCTAAGTGAATTGAGCTAAACAGCTATTGGGAATTAGTGTACTGATGCTACTTTCCAACAGTTTATATCCATGACTCTTCAGTCAGGTATCGAAGGTACGACCTTCAGGTCTCCCAGCGAGCACGACCAATTAAAGTATTCTACATGCTAAAAGAATAGAATTTTGTTCTTCCTGAACGTTGAGATAGAATTTCTAAATAAAAACGAATACATAGATCAGAGTCTAGATCAAAGGTTTCTTTCCAAATACCGTTAACCGCTAACACGAAAAATAGGATATCAAAAGTTTGTTAGGTGTACTGGATTCTCAAAATAACTTGTGCAACTCGTCTTTGCAATTTCCTACGTTTTCAGTTTTCTCCGCTTAGAAGAACTCATTTGTCTCATTGGTTTGTTAATGTTTTAGTATCTCATTTTGTTACCCTGTCTTTAAGGGCATCGTAAATATATGTGTATACGTGAAATTTATACTCTAGATACTATTCCTTCTCGTTACGGGCGTAGATGTTCCGGACTATTTCAAATTTTGTCCCTAGTTAGCGGAAAGAGAAGAAAGAAGTAGAAAGTAGCCTCAGTAATTGTCATTTAAATTGGAGTTGAGAACTATTAATTTAGTTAGACTAATGATCACATTCCAAAATTAATTGACAATGTTTGATCAGCACTGTAGTTTAAAATAAAATGACAATCTTTATCACT